TATTGAAGTCAGCAGGAACTAATGTAGACTGGAGATCCTGGTTACAACCTCATTGAATGGTGGAACAAGCTCAAGAAGTTGATTTGTCTATCCTTGTTCCAAAATTATTTGGATATATAATACTAAAGAACCAAGGGGCTGTAGCTGTGGCTGAGCAGTTAAAGCAATGCACTCAAAATCTGCAACGGTTCCTGAGGTGCAGTGGTAGTGTCCCTAACTCAGGAGCAGAAGCCCAGGTTCAAGTCATATCTGCTCCAGATGCGGGATAATATCTCTGAACAAGTTGATTAGAAAGTAATACATACTCAGAACAAAAACAGAAAAACCTGAAGGAGAGCACAATAAACTTCAATTTAATCAAAATGTTTCATTCTTAAAATTTTGAAATGGATGCTGGTTGCAATCTTTTGTTTTTTTTAAGAAAAGGCCTAGATATACATTTGCTCACTATACACAAACAATACATTTTTTTAAAAAAAGGAAATAGGAAAGTTCCACGTTTCTACCACAACGCAGCATATATCCACTAAACAAATACTTAGTTCACGGAGAGAGAATTGTGCAGCCCGAGTCTTGCACTATACTGATAATAAGGCGCAAACTTTCACTGAAGTGTTGCTTAGCAACGTGGCTTCACTGATCACAAAACAAACAAGGCAGGCAATTTTTGTCACAACTGAAAACATCCCCAGAAGTTAGATAAAAAATTTCACATGAACTGAAGTAACAACTTAGTACAAATACCTAGTAACAATGTTTAAGCAGGAAATTCACCAGCATCCTCCAAGCTGCAAGGAGTTTAAAGAAACTTCAAAAAGAGCACCACAATTATATCCTTTCCATAATGAAATTACTCGTACAAAAATGCTAATATCAGACAACAAAAAGAGAAGAAAACACTTTCAGATGTTCTAATAATTAGCACAAGGATTTTTTTTCCAAAACTACATTTTTATACACAGTATCTTTTTTATGCAAAAAAAAAATCTAGGATCTTTCTCTAGAAATAGTAGGAACAGCAGATGCTGGAGAATCTGAGATAACCAGGTGTAGAGCTGGATGAACACAGCACGCCAAGCAGCAGAGGAGCAGGAAGGCTGACGTTTCGGGCCTAGACCCTTCTTCAGAAAAATTTTCTGAAGAAGGGTC